GAGAGGTGGTCCCTCAAGTAACCTGGCCCTGTGATATGTAGGGCTTTAAAGCACCTTTAATAGTTAATAAATATTAACCAATAACTATTAACCATTAACTAATAGTAATAACTTTAATAGTCATTAATAGTTGTGTGGATTTTGGTCCAAATAGTAGCAATAATAGGACATCAGACGATGTGAGTTAACATTACAGCTCCTGAATTGCATCTCAAGACTAGCCTTCCCAAAGTAAATTCTGGTCTCTCTCTCTCAGTGATGTGTCAGAATCGCTCATCGACAAATGCCTTTACTCCTGCAAATCTCCTGATCCAGACATTCTGATCAGAACATCTGGGGAAGTTCGACTTAGTGATTTTATGCTCTGGCAGGTAAATCTAAAGTGCAACAACTCACCAGCAAAATCAGATTTTCTTGCTTTGCTTTTCTACACTTTTTAGAAATCATTTGACTTTCAGCTCTCTGGGTTTTGTTGCTGGTTATAAGAAAAGACCTTGTATAATAAACACACCTCTTAAAAAGCAAAACAAAATCCCCGTGCCCTCTTCCAGTAAGCTGCTATAATAAGCGCTTCAAAGAGATCAGTGAAAAAGCATGGCCTTCAGCCACCCTAATGAAGACACTTACCAAGTAGGCAGACCACCATCTGGTTCACTATAAACTGTTTCATAAATTCCCATTTGCTGTCCTTCAGCAATGATAGAGCAAGGGAGAAGCTGTATATCATTGCTGCAAAGAATGATGCCCAGGGTTTAAACCCTTCTAGAAATTCTCACAGGCTCTTTGTTCATACTGTTGGCAAGTTTGGTTTCTATACAAGTCACCGCAAGCTCCAGAATGCAAATTTATTTTAAGCATTTTTACCGGGTTGGTTTATGTTAGAAGGGGTGCTGAGCAGAACTATAGTAATAAGATCAGCCGGTCTTTGAATTTACAATCTAAAAGTTGATAGCCCTTCTCCATCTTTTTTCCTTCCTATCTTAGGACACTTTCGTGACTTTCTGGCAGGAACAATCATAGCTTGGTCTTTCTAGATTTACTTTCTATGGCTGATGCATGCAGCTAAGGGCTATAGTATAGTATATAGTAGTATCATATTGTATCGTATCTATACTGTAGCCAGGGGCTACAGTATATATAGTATCTATAGCAGTGTTTCTCAACCTCAGCAGTGCTGGCTGGGGAATTCTGGGAGTTGAAGTCCATACATCTTAAAGTTGCTGAGATTGAGAAACACTGATCTATAGTACAGTATAGATCTCCTTTCTATAGCCGCTGGCTGGGGAATTCTGGGAGTTGAAGTCCATACATCTTAAAGTTGCTGAGATTGAGAAACACTGATCTATAGTACAGTATAGATCTCCTTTCTATAGCCGATGCACTGAGTGGGAGTTGCGGGGGGGGACTGGATTATTTCTAATATCCCTTCCAATCCTTACACACCGAGATTCTAAGCTGGACTTCCTCTTGCCCAGTGCTCTTGAAAGCGCAGCCTTTTAGAGGCTCCCGTCCCCAAGTTGACACATGAGACCAGAGTGTACTGTCCATTTCAGAGTTGCTGAGCAACTGGGAATGAATGAAAGATGTTTGGGAAGTCTGTTTTGGAATAATCTAGCAATGTTGCTTGCTTTGGTTACCTTCCTTTCTTTTCTAGCCTGCGTATTAAGCACCTTGTCTCTCTTTTCTCAGACATCCCATTCTTGCCTAGTGTTTCAGAGCGTGCTGTGGCCAGATTATTCCTTCTGGAACTTATGCGAGGCCATCCTTCGGTACCAGATGAACTACAATGCTTTACAAGTAAGAAAGAGGAAAAGGCTAAGCAAACAAGCAATCTTAGGCTCTCAGCATATTCAGTTTAAATAACTGAACTGCCTGCCCCAAGATTTCAGAGACAAGAAAACAGCACCTTTTCCTTACTGCTAAAATGATTGTCCCACCTTCCACCACAGTTGTGGATCTATGCAAATGATCATCACATATCAGTTAAATATTTTAAAAACCTTTAATTCTATCCTCTTCCAAAACTAGAGGTAGAGCTCTAACTTGGAAGTGGGAAATCAGTGCTGGATTTCCTTTAGCCTCTTAGGCTTTTGAGACTAATGCTAGAGGACAGGATTAGAAGTTGAAAAAATCAAAAGGATGATGGGCTTTCCTAGCCACACAAAAAGGTTTGGGGTGGTGGGGAGGCAACAAATGTTGGGATGTATCCATACAGTTGATAGGATTGGTCTGACAGGTCTCTAGATAGTGCCCTGGAGTTCTACAGATTGTTGGATTTCTATTTCATGGATTATTGTGCAAACAATGAAAGCAATATACTAATTGCTTAAAATACTTTGTATTTCTGACCAAAGGATGATCTTGTCCTCTGAAGAGAGATGGCAATTTCATTCTTTCATTAGTTCCCTCTCTCCTTATACTTCTTGTAAGTCAAGTAGGGTCTTAAAGATCAGTTCCTTCCAGGCGTCAAGAAATCATGAGGAAACAAGGTGCCTTTTGCCATAGCTGTTTAGACAATATTTCAAGATCACTTCTGCATATGAGTTTCTTTGATGTAAATAACTTTTGGTGCTATTACTCCTAATCTCTTTTTCTGTGCACCCTATGGTCTAATCATGTATCAGAGTTATAAAAAAATCCAGGAAAAAAATAAAAGTGGCCTTTAAATGGTTTGGCAAACCTCTCTTGAAATCTGTATAATTTTAGAAGATTTATACATGCAGACATGCAGGGTCCAAAAAGGGGTAGAATAGAATTCCAGTTTCATTCATTAGCCAATAGACAGATGGGCTGAATATCCTTTAGCAATGAATTCTCATTGATTCGTTTTCGATTTATGGTAAAAGGTTATCAATCTTGCCCCATCAACCCAACCTGATCTGGAGTGAGCTGCAGATGTGTTTCTAATTTTGTAAGTGTGGTTTTCTGAGCTGTCTCATTCTGTTGTGTAAAAACTAGTGGCAAGCTATAAATACCCAAGATCTTTAATAGTGACCATGCCAATTGTTTGCAGCATTTTGTAGTAGCTGAGAGGAAGGGGTTGGAAAAAAGACAAAACATTTAGGAGGAAAGGACTCAAACTTTGATACATGCTGGCCCAGGGAAATTTTATAAATAGGAGAGAAGCCTGTAAGCCAAATCAGTTATACAGTTTGTCTTGTATGTTTTGTATTGACGAAAGATCCTGGGAGTTGAAGTCCAAGACATTTGGAGGGTACTGGGAGGGGGATACTGATCTATGCTCAGAGCCTAATGCATCTTTATTGCTTTTTTTTTCCAGAAAGCCAGAGATTTATACATGGAAGAGAGGAAGTGGCAACAGTTAGAAACTGATACGGCACAAGTCTTAGAGAAACTGAAAGACGAAGGATCGGCATCCTGTGGAGATACTCAGAAATGCCGGACACTTTTGCAAGAATTCAAAGCTAAACGAGAAGAGAGGATTCAAGGGTTTTTGCAGGCCCTGGAGCACAAAAGGATGGACTTCCTAGAAAAACTGGCTATGGCAGCTGCAAGATAAGAAGAAGGTTCCTGGGTTTGGGGCTGGGGGAGAAGAGGAAAAAAAATGAGCCAAGTTGCAAATAATCCAATTGCTGCCCAGTGGGTGACATGAAATGGGATCATAGGTTTATTCTTGTGTGTATGTGCACATGGCTGGGGGCCATGACATTTGAAGTGTGTGTTTCCTAAATTTAATGAAACAAAAGGTATTTGTGTAAAGCTAACAAATGAAAAGAATAGCATCAAATCGTTCTAGGTGAGAAGATCTGTGCGTGCTGGAGGGCTTTTGCTCCATGTCCTCCAAACTGCAGCTTTTCTCTGCCACAATTCACAGACTTACCAGAATCCTGAAAAGCTGCTGGCACTGGAATGCAGAGATGCTGCAACTAAGAAGATCAGAAAAAGACCTCATTGCATGCACCCAAGCAAATTGAGTCTGGAATAAATTAAGGTTTATTCTTTTCTTTGTTGGTTCCATATTTTAGAGACTAGCTGTTCTGGATCATTTGTTTTTCCATTCTTGGTACAACTGTGAACTATAGGATTGTATTGAAGCTTCACAGGAACATACATTGTTCCTCTGGCTTTAGTAAGCTAGGAGAATGTACTCCTCCAGATTAGCTCCATATGCCCTTCTGAACTATGGGCACGTGTGCTGGTTACAACAGAACTTCAAGGTGTCTCTGATGCAGCATCTTCTGCTGGGTTTGAGAAGGCATTTTACCTTTGAATAGCACTACAAAACGTCCTTTTACAAAAAAGTGCAGCATAGTGTAAATAGCTGTGAAAAAGTTAAGGGCATCAGCTATAAATACAGCACTTTGTTTTCCAAAATAAGCTGCTGGTTACTTCATGTTGCTTTTCAAAGGCTAAATGAGGGTGTGGTTTTATTATTCTAAAATACTTAATTTTGAAATGGTGAGGGATGAGCCAGTTGTCAAGAATATTGATATTTAACAACCTGCTTGATCCATCTTTTTTTTTATAAATCTGAGGCCATATACAGGAAAAAAAATGGTGACCGATAAATTATAGGTATTTCATTCTCATACAATGATTTCACCTACTACATTACCACTGTCATGTCTGAAAGGGCTGTTTGGTTTGATCTCTGTTCCTGAAGGTCCTTGTTATTTCTGTGACAAACTGAATAAATACATTCCAATCACATAAAATCCTTCAGAGATGAGGAAATAATATATTAATAAATGCTTCTGCATTAAAAACAAACTTCTGATAGTTTCTTGAAAAAGGCTAATTATATGCTTAATGGGGATTTAGGGTTTTCACATCTTTAAAAGTATATGATACTGAAATCAAAGGAAAGCTGCTAGCCCTTCAGGATTATAGTGTGAGTCACTGTAGATATTGTGTGTGTGTGTGTAAAGCGTCCAGTCTGAGACTTATTTCATTGAGCAGTGATTCCTGCTGGGTATTTAGATGAACAGAGGTAACTGAAAAGCAACTTTTCATGTTTGGTGCCCCAGAACCCCATAAAAGGCTAATTGCTATGCAGCATTATAACTCTACAGTATCTGTGTTATAGTCCATCTGTTTTACCCATTAAGCAGAAACTCCTAGATACGTATGTGAAACAGTCTTCATTCATATGGTTTCTCATGGGCTGGAGAGTGTGCTCCTCCACAGTTCAGTAAGCAGACACATTGAGCTTATTTCCATGAATAAACTGGCAGTGAAATGTCCAGTTGAGTCTTGAATGGAGCTTCCTTTTTATGTGATTAGTTGAGGCTCTTTAATGAGCCTAAACAGGATTAAGGCATTCATACCCATTTTAAGTGGCTCGTACAGATCATGGGAGAACAATTGGGCTGGTGGCTATGTTGTGGCCATACTTGGTTTCTTGGCCCTAGTATTAAGGGGTAGTATTGTTCCTAGATAATTCAGGCAATATACCAACTCACAAGATTTTAAGCAAGATACAGCATTTTCTCAGGTAGTTTTATCTAGAATTATATAAACCTGATTGTATAGAATTCAGGTGGTCTAAAAGATTTGAGACTGGTACCTTTGGTAGTTGTCACTTTAAAACCCTTTATGTTTTAAATGTGAAGGATGGGCTGCCACCCATTATCTGCAGCATCTGAAGGAATTCTTGGCTTCACTCTTAAGTGTAAATTTAGTTGGGAATCCAGTTTTTCTAATGCCTCTCACTTGAAAAATTCAAAGTAAAAATTTGAGTTTGTTTATTGGGTTCATACCCCACTGTGTTCAAAGAACTCTCAGCAGCTAACAGTGAATACCACAAAATCATTATTTAAGTAACTACATAGAATACCAACATAGAGGAGTGAAATAATAAAAGTGGCACAAGAAATTAACTTGGCAAGATTATGAAAATCCTCTGGAATAATTTGGTTTTTCATAGCTTCCTAAATTCATGAGGGAGGGGGCAAGTCTGATCTCCATGGGGAGGGGGAGCAGCACTATCTTGTCTCATTTCTCTTCACCTCCCACAATTATGGAATCACTAGCAGCTGTTCCCTACAAAATCTGATAGGCCAGCCATGCACTTGGAAGAATATGATCAGAATGTCTTCTGGTCATATTCTCCCAAGGTCGGAATAATTTTGGTTACTATCTTAACCAAAATTATGGAGCTTACCTGATAAAGATCCTAATCCCTGCTATTTTAAATAGAGCCATTTAACCAGCACTTATTTACCTGATTTGTTGTGGTCTTAAGAGAAGGGCTGCACATTCAATGGTAGTGGAGTCCTTGGGGTTCTCTGAGTTGGTGGTTTTCTTGCAAACATTTCATTATGTTTGCATGTGGCAGGTTAGTTCAGTCCCCAGCAGGGGTTAAGAGGAAGAAACCCCACAGACATGTAAATCAGGCCCCTCCAACCTGGTACAATCCAGTTGGGTTCAATTATTAAGACTCTTGCCCATCTTTCTCTCCAGAGCAACCAACCAGCTGCCTCCAGGCAACCCACAGTTGACACAAGAAGGGCAGAACCTCCATCATCAGCCATGCTTTGTGATGCCAGTTGCCAAGAAGTAATGAAGGGAAATGTCAATTTGGATTGCTGATCAAATGTAGTTGGTATGGTTGTCTTCTCAAATGTGTGAGAGGAGGGTGATGTTGGTTGTTTACTCTTTGCGGCCGTCTTTTGACCTTGGACTCGATGGGGATTGTGGCAGCGCGACAGTATGGTGCTGAAGAGGACAGCTCCCCGCCCGACCCCATGAAGGAAGCGCCTCGGGTAAAAGACGGACCACCAGCCACCACTTCTCCCCTTTTTTCAGAGAGGCGCCCGCTTCACCTGAAGCCCTTTTGCCGCCTGCTCTCGGATGAGACCCTGCCACTTCGCAGCCAAGGTTGAAAAGGAAGGGGGCGCTGTGGGTTGCGTTCCGCCGTGGCGAGGCAATGACCGCACCTTCCTTTTCCCTTCCAGAGCAGGGAAGAGGCCACCATCTTCCCCCGTCTTGCACCCAGATTTCTTTCAAACGGCATTATAACGGTCGGGAATAGGCGCTCTTGTCGGCAACCCTTGTGGCCCCTTGCTCCGCGCCTCCAGAAGGAAGACACGCGCCTTGGCTGGCCAGGTGCGCCGGGGAACTCCACCTTCCACTCGCCCGCAAAGGGACATTAGGCTGCCTGGACGCCGCCGATGCCCTAAGACTGCAAGCTTCGGCTCGCTGACCTGAGCCGTGCGGCCCTTGGATCGTCGCGGAGAGGTTGCACGGTGTTCTGGGCCAGCCGAGCATTACTTTTGCAACGCATAAAGACCCGGGGCCAAGCGTGTTCTTATTTACCACGGTGGGGGCAGCAAGAGTGACGTGAAACTCAATTTGCAATCAATTCGCTAGATCTATACGTAACGGGGGAGAAAACAGCTCCTTTGAAAAAATATTTCTTCTCACTCTTTCGGCGTAGCAGGGAGGGAAATGCCGTTTCTTTATTCTACCTGTTCTTACTTTTCAAGAATCAAATAAATCTGCGGTCTACTTGCAGCAGGACCAAACGGCCGCTTTTGCAGAGATAAAGGTGGACGTTCAGTTGCGCGCGCGCGCGCGCTCTTCACCTCCCCTTGCAGAACCCGCCCTGGCTGTCCCTCGCCACGTGACCCGCTCTGTCCAATGGTTGGTCGGGGCGGTGGGGATCCGGCTGGAACCGGTTGGGCCGCGTCCGGCTCTATATAAAACTTTATAAACACCCGATTCAAATTAGTGGGGTCGCGAGCTACACGAGCGAGCCCAACAAACGGAGCCCCCTTCCCCCCCTTCGTTTTTATTTTCCGTCCTCCCTTTCTGCGCGGCTTTCCCTCCCAAACATCCGAGTTTCTCCTTCCTTCCTCCTAGAGACCTTGCCTTTCTCGTTTCAATCCGAGCCGCCTTCTCGCTCTCCCTCCCTCACGCGCCGCTGACATGCCCAAGAGAAAGGTACGTGGCTGCGGCGAGGGAAAACTTAAGGGCCCGGAGGCGAGAGGGGCGAAGGGGAAGGAGAGGGGAGAATTCGTGTACTCGAAGGGAGGGATGCTTATGCGGGGGTGAGCTTTCGGAGCAGACGCCATTTTCTTTCTCTTCTTCTCTACTCCCTCCCCGCACTCATTCGCTGGCTCGCTCCCTTCCCTTTCCCTCCCCCTTCGCTTCGTTCGCCTTCGGGCGATTAACGGTCGTGAGACTAGGGGGGAAGCGCGTGCGCGCGAGACGGCTCAACGGTCGTTCTCGGGACTTAAAAAGTGGGGATGGAGGAGGGGGCGGAGCTTAGGGAGAGCGACCGTTAACCGCCGCGCATTTTTGGTGGCCTATGAAGGAAAGGCGGCGGGGGGGTGACTTTGCGAGCGACTATAAAGCTCCATGAGAGGCGGGGTAATTGTGACAGAAAGAGACAGCGCGCGCGCAGATGAGCGCGAGAAAACGCTTAATTATTGGCTGCCCCCTCGCCCGCGCGCTCGCCTCGCCCGCCAATCGGGAAGGGGCACGCGCCCACTTAGGCGCGAAGTGGGAGAGAAGGGAGGGAGCGCGAATAGTAGAGGACGAAAAAGGAACCGGGGCGATCGGGTCGCGTTTTTTGGCGGGAGGGCCGTTGGCCGGAAGGAGACCCCACATGCACCGCCCGTTGAAGGCGGCGGGAAGCAGGAGGGCGCCTCGTTTCTCCTCCTTCACCCGCTTAAATAATGAGGTTACGCCGTGTTTTCTTCTTTCCCCTCCCCGGCACACACGTATAATTCAAAAAGGGCGGGAAGGCCTTAGAGGGACACTTCCGTCCCAAGCCCTCTTTAAAGGCCCTGGAGGATTAGCCCGGGCCTAGTAAATGACACCACCTTTGCTCAGCGCAAATTTTCCCCCTCACACCTGCTGTCGTACTATTTGCTCTTTCAAGTGAAGGAAGCCTAGGCTGAAGCAATTTAAAGTTTTCAAGAGCCAAAGCATCAGCACGTAGAGTAACTGTTAACAGCATACAGCATACTCTTGTTTTGACTTGCTTGCCTCACACTTCACATCTTATGCAAAAGCCATTCTGAGTTACATTTCCTGGCTACACTTTGGGGAAGAGGCTGTTTGACTCAAGAAAGTAGAGTGTGGCTTGGATTTAGAAGTGCTATTCTTAAAGCAAGGAAGGCAGTGCAGCTAAGTGAAATTAGTTTCCAAATCTCTAACAGTTGTAGGAGTAGCCAGAAAAGCTTCACTTTGTGAGATCAGAATTCCTGAAATAAATGCGATCTTGGGTGTTACTTGGATTCAATAGAGGTCATGGTATTCTGAAATAAAAAGAGTTCATTATATTGCCTAAAGCTGCTGTGTTGGGGAATAAAGAATAATGCAACTGAATAAGAGGCATCTGTCAGTGCTGTTATCACGCAACTCTCCCACAAGCACAACTGTAAGGCTGTGTAATTTAAAGAAATGCAGAGTTGTGCATATCAACATATGAAAACAAATTTTATTTTATTGAAATAATTCTAAATATGAGAAGTTACTGGATTCTGGAATTGTTCTAAAAGAAAGCATAGTCCTTCAGAAACTTGACATTGCAAATAACTCGAGTCCTTGGGGTTCTCTGAGCTTGGTTGCAAATAACATTTGGGTGCTGCAGCTTCGTCTAGTACCCAAAGGAACATTTACCTGATGTTTTTTAAAAAAGACTGAGCTGATTCCATTCTATGCTATTAGGAAAAGTTCTGTGTTTACCACTCACAAGTACAGTAGTGTCAACTTGTTAATTTAGGAATGTTTGTATTTTGTGATATGTAAGAAAAACAGGCAATTCAAGTGGTTGGGAGGTTGTGTGCAAATCTATAATATATAAAATTATATATATTTATATAGAGATATATAAAAATATAAATTTATAAAGTATAAAGGAATCAGTCAAGAAATTGGAATGTAAATTTAGCTATACATCAATTTGTTTTATGTGTTTAGCATTTTAAATACAAAATAAATTGTAAGATCTTGGAGTCAGTTTTCTTTAGCCATTTCATGTCTAAAATTTCTTGTAGGCTGAAGGGGATACCAAGGGTGACAAGGCCAAAGCAAAGGATGAGGTAAGAGGTTTTTCTTTAGTTTTATGGTTTGTTTGTACTTTACTAAAATATTTAATGTTGAGTTCTTCACTGTTATACTTTTGAATATTCTAATAGATTACGAAGGGGAGCACGCTGATTCTAACAGGATTAACTTTTTTTCCCTTCATTTTAAACAGCCACAGCGGAGATCAGCAAGGTTATCTGCTGTAAGTATGTTTTACGATAAATGCTTTTGGGGGATAAGTTAGTAAAAGTAATAACATCTTTAGAACTCATAGCAATAGTGTGTATTATTTGTGTCACAGATAATGATTACACACATCAAGTGCACTAATATTTCAGAATTATTAATTGTACTTTTATTTTTAGAAACCTGCTCCTCCAAAGCCAGAACCCAAACCTAAAAAGGCAGCTCCAAAGGTAAGTTTAAAACTGTACTGTATGCAACTTGTGATTGAAAATGTTTTGGTTCCATAAATTGAGTTAATATATCAGCTGTTAGCTAATTTACTCTTGTTTCCCAATGATTGTCAGAAAGGTGAAAAGGTACCCAAGGGAAAGAAAGGGAAAGCTGACGCAGGCAAGGATGGAAATAACCCTGCAGAAAATGGAGATGCCAAAACAGACCAGGTATAATAACTACTAATACTTATGTTACTTTATTTTTTTGAAAAATTGGAAATCAAGCATATAAACTAATGTATGCAGTTCAAAAGAAGCAGACAGTATTGTAGTCATTTTTCTTATTCATTTCCAGATAATTCAATAATTCAAAGTAATATAAGCATTTGGGGTGCACATATCAGAATAATATGAATCAACAAGCCAGATAGAATCATTGGATCAGATCTTCAGTTTGAATCATCAGATTGAACCAATAATTTTTATTTGGATTTACCAAATTGTATTGATACAGTTCAAAAAAAGCCTTCCAAGCACAGACATTGAATCATTGTGTTGGTTCAGAGATTCAATCAAATCACCTTTGAATCTCCAAATTTTTGTCCATTTCTAATCATGTATGAAATCGGTGACACATCCAGAACAAAATTATTATGTGAAATAACTTGTGTCCAAAAGGCAGCCACTATAGTATGTGACTATAGCCTCCCAATCAATGTTGTATTTTAAGTATCAGATCCCCAACAAGTGCTGAACCTTTCCTTAGAAGTGTCCAGTTTTTTTAAAAAAACAAAACACTATTTTAATTAATTGTAATTTAAAAATTGGTCGCATACAGGTACCAAAATGGTTTTCTGTTCACTTTCATGTCCAAGACATTCCAGTTCCATATTTGTCTACTTAACTGTATCCGAACATGTATATAAAAAAAATTACTGTAGGGTTATTTTGAAAATAATGTGTCCTGTCTTCTAGAGGGAATCTAGAACAGTTAAAACTGGCAGCCATATTTACATGTTAAAAATAATTTAGTTAATTTCTTTGATTTGGTGAGAGAGTAACTATGTTTATTATAATGTCTACAGACAAGTATGAACAGAGACCAGTACTATTCCATAAATGCAAACGAAATGAAACAATTGCATGAGAATTTAGTAGCATAGTTCTGGAGATATTTGAAATCATTTAAAAGTGATAAAGTAACTTGTTCTGTTGTTTAAATCTGCCTTTCCCATCAAGATTGTCTGATAATAGCTTATTTTGGCAATAGCTACATCTTGCATGCAAACACTGGCCATTTGAATAGTAACCTTACAACATAAAGTGCTGTCTGATGAACAACATTTCTTTTTCAGGCACAGAAAGCTGAAGGTGCTGGGGATGCCAAGTGAATTGTGTGAATTTTTGATAACTGTGTACTTCTGGTGACTGTACAGTTTGAAATACTATTTTTTATCAAGTTTTATAACAATGCAGAATTTTGTTTTACTTTTTTTTTTAAAGCTATGTTGTTAGCACACAGAACGCTTTGTTGTTGTGTTTTAGGGGGAGGAGAGGGGACAAATGTCATTGACTCTGTTACTTAGAATCTGGGCTTTTAAAAGTCCCCCTTCAATTTTGCAAGAGGGAATCTTCATGGGCACAAAGAAAGAGGATTTCCTGATGCCGTCAATGTGTATTGGTTTTTGAAATGCTTGAGACAACACTGAAACTCCTAAAATACCTGTTTTGAGAAATAACATTAAAACTGTACTTCCCATTTTTATTCTTTCAGTGTCATATTACCTTGCATTTATCACTTCTCTGAGTATCATGTGTCGTTTGATACTTGCTATCATAAATCAAATGCATTCAAATCAAATGCATTCTTACAGTATCAGGCAATCCAGACTTCTGGTGTCAAATACTGAGGGAGGGAGGATGGCTTATAAGGGAGCCACATTTCCTTCTATAGTGTGAATCTTCAGATTAAAAATTCTGCAGTTTTTGTTTTTCTCTTAAAGTCAGGGTAGGTTTGTGAAAAGTTGTTAAACAACATACTAAATGTGAAAGTGTCCACCCTCACTCTAAACTTTCCCTGTTCCAAGTATGAATTGGATTTTATATAGTAACTTTACATTTTGGTAGTCCAAGGAAAAGGGGAGTTGGAACTTGTTGTAAAACATTGCGAATTGTAGCCCATGTCCTGCCTGAATACCATTGATTGATCGTTTTATGAAAAGTACCTTTAATAAAGCTGGATATTGTTTGGCTTTGACTGTTTTTTTTTTCTCTTCTACTTTCTGTTTGTTTCCTACTGCCCTATTTTTCATGTTTATGTGCAAAAATTACAGCTTAAGTATAAATTACATAGACAGTTATATCAGTACCTTCTTATAGATGCACAAAGAACTTAAACGTTCCAGAATACAGACCTCCATAGGCAAATCCTAATATTTAATCATCTTATCTTTCATTTTACAT